TTCCTTCCTTCCTTCCTTCCTTCCTTCCTTCCTTCCTTCCTTCCTTCCTTCTTTCCTTCTTCTTTCCTTCTTTCCTTCTTTCCTTCCTTTTTAAAGTCTCATTATGAAGCCCTGTCTTTTCTTGCTGGAGCTAGATGTGTAGAGCAGCCTTGAATTCACCTGCCTCTGTCTCCCAAGTGCTGAGAGTAAAGGCATGTGCCAACATGCCTATCATCCTCCCTCCCCCATCTTTCCATTATTTTATTCTTTGTTCTAAAGAACTCAACAGAGGTCCAAAGGAAGGAAAAGAATTTCTAAGTTGTACACAGTGATTAAGAGTGTGAGTGTTTAGGGCCAGCAAGTTGGCTCTATGGTAAGGGCTCCTGTCATGCAAGCCTGGTGACCTTTGTTCAATCCCCAGAACTCACATAGGTGAAAAGAAAGAACTGATTCCACAAAGTTGTCCTCTGACCACATATGCACCATGACACATGTGTAATACACATAGGAACACCTAGACACAGTAACAATATATTTTTCTTAAAGTTTGAAAATTCAGATCAGGTTGGCCAAATTTAGTCTACTATAAAATGTTAATGTAAGAATTAAACATAAGCTGCCACCCTTGGAGGTACGCATCTGTAATTCCAACATTCAGGAGGCTGAAGCAGGAGCATTGCAAAATTGAGGTCAGCCTCAGCTGCCTAGTGAGATGCAGTCAGAGTGGGAGAAGGAAAGGAAAGGCTGGATTTGTGTGTTGAATGCCAGGAGACCTTGTCCTCAGAGGAGCTGCTTACTAGCAGAGTTAATTGCTCTACTAAGCCCATTCTTGGGAAAGAGAATGTGTGGCAGACAGGTTTGTGGAAGAAACCAAGGCTGGTATGCAAACTACTGACAGCAGCTATTTGGGAAGATCTCTGACTTTTCTTGTATGAGTATATTGTTCTCTTTTCTCTGTCCCCATTTTCCAGGAGCTAAGACCACAGTAAAATACCCAGGTTTTATATTAATCAGAAAAGAAAATTAAATTACTTTAAATATTTAAAATTTTACATGATGTTGGCATACTTCTTTTTTAAACTCTTTTATTATTTGTTTTTCTTTCATCTTTTTCTCCCTACTCCTCCCCAATCCCTTCCAACACCCCAACACCAGGTAGGAGAGAGAAAAGGTTAGTGGGAAAGGACGTGCAATTCTCTTAGCTGCTTCCTGCTGGTTAGGGTCGTCAGGTTCCTTGGAGCCAGTCCGTCCAATCCTTGTTTCAGGCTCAACTTCTTGTCTCACTGCAACAACAACAACAGGAGCTGATGGGGGAACAGGAGCAACCTAGTTCTTTCTCAGAGCTCCACATTCTCTGGGCCCTGGCATTTATTCTCTCTCCAGAGTCCTCTGATTTAAACTTTCTGCAGCTGGCAAAGAGCTCCTCTCAGAGCCCGCATGAGGCAAATAGTCTGCTGCTGTGAACCATCTGAATCAGTCCCACATCCCACAGTTGGGACCAAAACAAAAACATGTTTATATTCTCAACAACATGACATGAAAATTTGTGTGTGTTTTTGTGCTTTGCTTTATTTTGTGTTTTGTTTCTGTTTTTACTTGGGTTTGTTTTTGTTTTTTGAGAGTCTTGTTCTGTAGACCAGGCTATTAGGGAACTAATTATCTAATTACCACCATTTAGCTTAAAATAATTTTTTAAAGACAAGTTCATGTCATGTATCCCAGGTTGACCTTGTGCTCATTATGTACCTGATGATGGCCTGAAAACTTCTGACCCTCCTATGTCTACTTTGTGAGTGCTGCTATTATAGGCATGTGCCACCCTGCCCAATTTATGCAGTGCTTTGGATCAAATGCTTTGTATTCTTGAACCCAGAGCTTCATGAATACTAGGCAGGTACTCTACCAACTCAGCCACATTCACAGCCCCTGAAGTCTTTAGGGAAAAAACCCATATTTTGACAACATATTTATATATTGTCTTATACAGGGGTTTAAACAGCTTGAGAACTTAAGTCACAAGAGGTTTCCTGTCTTGTTGCATAAATAAGCACCAGCGTCCTTGGAGAATGTGTTAGAAGATTTTGTTTTGCTGATATTGACCAATAAAAGGTCTTTTTTGTTATTACAAATAATATATGGCCTATTGTGATGTTCCTTTGTATTTGGGCATAGGACTGTTTGCCAGTTGTGCTTTCTAAATAACATGTAGTAAATTTTATCAGCTAATATGGAATCCTGGAAAAAAAAAAAAAACCTGTATAAACCCTGACATCAGTGTGTTTCAGTTTTGGTCAGAGTGGGCCCTTTTTGGACCATTTATAGCTCTCTAGCTTGAAGCTAACGCTGGAAGGTCAGAGGTGCCTCCGGAGTGCCTTTGCTTTGGGGCTAAGGCTTTAGTTTGTGGCAGAGGGACAAAAAGAAACATGGGTACCACATATGTGCTATGATGTAAGACATTGTTTGAGAGATGTGCTTATTTTTCTTAACTGTTCTTCTCCACAGGGATTTCAAGGATTTGGATTTGGAGATGGTGGCTTCCAAATGTCCTTTGGAATCGGAGCATTTCCATTTGGGATATTTGCCACAGCATTTAACATAAATGATGGACGGCCTCCTCCAGGTAAGCCCCATTTCCTTAAATCAGGAGCATATTCTGCTTGAAATCTGCTTGGAATTCAGCAGTATAGGAGCTGCAGATCGTTGTCACTGCGTGCATATCGGACTTTCCAAAGCCTCTTAAATTCTTTGCATATCATACACTCACCAGTGACTCTGAGCACTTGCCATGCCTTAGGCACATTAAGGGTGCCTCATATTATTTACAAACTGAGGGCTCATCACCTGCACTCCAAGTGATGCTTCCAAGACATAGTTCATGATCATTAAATTACAAATCATAAATGATACCTACTAACGAAAAGCCTAATCCTTCACATGTACTCCACACACACTTTGACCATTATGGGTAAGGGAGTAATGAAATGTAAAGGCTTTCTGTTCCCTGGCATTTCTCAGAACACAAGATGGGACTGATACCAAACTTCAGAGATTTGGGGACTATGTTTGTATCTGTCACCTGCTGCTGTATTTCTCCTTTCAGCCACTTGTCTGTAACAGCTGTATTCAGAGGTGTGTGCTTGTACTCTATTACACTCTGACGCTAAGCCACCACCCATGCTTTGGCACCTATAAAAGATGTCATGGTCAGTTGAGCCCTGCTTAAAAGTCGTTGGAGCTTTCTGGGCCCTGAATACAGTATGAGGAACAGGAGTGACCAGTGTAGTGTGGTCAGGAACTTAATGCTCTGAATATGGTAACTCATTCAGAAATCATCAGAGCTGTTCCCTGCTTCATCCAATTTCTTGGACATAGGCAATAAACCTCGTTTGCCTGCCTCCATGAGTTTGTCAGAGCATCCAACTATGAGGGAATGACATTCAACCCCACAAGATACTGGGGTACTACTCCATATCTTACCTGTCTAGCATGTTGCTCTGCTGTTCTCACCTTGTTTTCTCAGAAGAACAGGACCCCAAAGGGCAGGATGTGATTTTCATTAAAGGAAAGACAGATCCTTACAGAAGCAGCAAGAACTTCCGACTAGCTTGCTGCTTTCTAGCCTGGTCCAGTGTTCCGACTGGATTTCTCCACTGGGCTCTCAGTCAGTTTTTCTTTGTTGTGTTTGGTACAACTTGTACAGCCTAGATAGGATTTCCGTCACCTTCCTCCCTCTGCTGGGCAGAGAACTCTTAACTAGCAGCTTTTCTAAAAGCAGAGGTTCTCACCCAGTTCTCCCTCTATCTTGCCATATGATTTCCTGGCCCTGGTTCTCTTCTGGAAAAAAACAGGCACACAGAATAGGTGTGCACCCACCTGTACACACACAAGCATACACACATGAAGAAAGAAGAAAGAAGGAAGAGGGGGAGAGAAGAAAAGGGAAGGTAGAACGTGAGGGGGAGAGAGGGGCAGGAGGGCAGGCAGCAGGCCCAGAGGAACCCATGTAAGGATGCAAGCCAGAGGCCTCCCAACACCGCAGTCCTCCAGGCTGCTATGAGACCTGCCGGGCCCTCCCACCGCTGCTGTTGCTGGAGCACAAGTGAACTCATACACACAGAAACCCTCAGTTTCCATGAAGATTAACCTTGGCTGTTATTCAGAGCCTTCTAGAATAGTGTGCAGAGAGGCAGGAGAGTGGCACTGCTTGTGTATGCGCCCTTATAGTCTCAGGGGGCCCATACTTTGCTTCTGATGATTTACAAATGAGAACTGCCAACTAATATCATGCATGTGGTACAGCACAGAGAGGACAGGGAAGAGGGGCTATGCTCCCTGTGGGAGTTCCCTGATAACCCACAGGCTCATTTACATGTGCTGGAACAACTCTGAGATCACTGGAGATCAAGGCCTCACTGTAGTATTTTGCTTATTTTTGTTTTGATTTCTATTGTTTGAAGTGTGGGAGTCTTTTTATTGTGCAGGATTCTGTTTGTATAAAGAAATGAAAATTTGTTCTCTCCACTTTTGGCCAATGGGCATCAGATGCACAGCTATAGCCTTCTGACAAGTCTCTTCCTCCTGTCTCTAGCTGTCCCTGGGACACCCCAGTACGTGGATGAGCAGTTCCTGTCACGCCTCTTCCTGTTTGTAGCCCTGGTGATCATGTTCTGGCTCCTGATCGCCTAATACAGGACCTGTTTGCGTCTACAGCAGCACCTCTGGACTGGTGATATGCTACACACTCCTGTGTTTGACTTGTTTAATCCCGACCCCTGGAATCAAGGGTCAGAAACACATCAAAGAGTCTTGCTTCTCCATTAGAGCTTTGGAACTCAAAACCAGTTGGCGAGGAACCCCCAGTTTCACCACTGCTGTAAAAACCCTTCTATAACCTCAGGTCTTGTGTTGAGTCACCTCACACGGGTGACAAGTGAAGTCCTGGTCCAGCCCTCTCAGCAGGTCTCAGCTCCACACAGGGAAGATATGGGAAGAGAGAAACAGTTTCTTTCACCAGAACTTTATATTACAAAAATGAAGGGATGAACCAAATGGTATTTACAGAAACTTACTTTCATCTTTTTATTTTTTTATTTTTTATTTTTGGCAGTGAACTTCAAAGCTTTATTGTGCAGGACAGAGAGCAACACTTCTGCCTGCTCACAACCCCACCCTGCCCCCAACTTTTAAACTGTGTGTGCTCTGAGATTCCTGGTGATTCCCTTCATGATGTCCATTGGAGTTTGAAGAAAGTATAACCAGGAAAGCAGCTTCCTTCCTTAAAGACGGGCAGTATTAGTCACAGTTCACCTTCACGCTGGAGGCGGGAATCAAGCTGGAATTTATCACTAAGCCAGTTTATCTTTCCTTCTTAAATGTCTCTGCTACATATTTTCACTATTCTGGTGATTTCTTGTTCATAATTTCCTGGTGTATACAAATGCCCCGTGGTAAGTGGCCTCCACCCCCTATACCGAGGGGTTCCCTTCCAGATCCCAGTGCAGCTCTGTCTGCCTTCCTGCCTCCCCTTCCTCAGCAGAGACATAAGAATGACTGCCCAAGAAAGTCAGAATTGCCGCTGAAGATGCTGTGTGACCTTACCAGAGACTGTGGTCTTTGATTGGCTCAGGGCCTTGTTCAGTGTCTTGGGCCTAGGAAGCAGCTTGAATGACCTCCTGGTTTAGGGTATAGATTATCCCTGGTGTCACTTGGCTCAGACTTCCCATCAGCTTTCTCCTCTAGAATACTGCTGAATTCAGACTGACAACTCTGCTTCAGAGCTTTGATGCAGGAACAGCAGGACAATAGCCCCTTCCTCTCTCCCCTAGTCTGTAGACACCTGGGTAATTCTCTCAGAACTTGCCAGAGAAACTGGAGACTTTCTCAGGTCAGCCCAGCTGCACATAGAACACGACCATCCTCAGAAGCCATTGTCCTTCTTAAAGGAGTCTGGGACTCTCATTCCAACCTTGCTCCTGATGTTGGTTTGGCTTGATGGATTTACCTGAAAACTCCCTGAGTGTGTGCTGAGCCCTGGGACACACAAGGCTCCTGAGCAAGCAAACGGCATGTAAATGTAAAGGGTCACAGTGATACAGTGTGGTCTTCCTTTCTAATTTTTCTCACATGGATTTGTTCTTGAACTTTATAAGCTGCGTCCTCTGAGTCTGATGATGGGCATGTGGTGCCAGGCAGAATAGTTCGCCTGCTGTGACTACTATGACAGGTAGTTCATGCTCTACCTGTCAAGCTCCATCTTCCCGGAGACCTTGGCAGGGCGGCAAGCTAAGCCTCTACTGGGCCTTTTGTTCACTTTTGCAGCACCCGGTGCCCCAGCAATAACCGGAAACTAGGAGAGAGCCTTGCCGGGTGACTTCTCCAGATGTAACTACAATCTATGGGACTCTAGATTTTGAGGATGGCGAGAGAGCCCTCCTCCTCACTGCACAGTACCCACCTGCCAATGCCAGTGTTAGTGTTGAAATGGATACAGTATGAAGTATTGAGTAGGAGGGTGGTTTGGCAAGTCCAGCTGGTAAGAATAAGCCACCAACTTTATAGTGTGCCTGACAGATTTTAAATAGTCTTTGTCACTTGGAAATCCCCAGTTACAGGGGCCCCTAGAGTGTCTCTGTTCTAGAGAGAATTGGTAGGATCCCTCAGTGTAGTATAGCCCTAAGTAGTAGAGGGAAAACTTAAGCCAATGAACACAAAAAAAATGAGTTTCCAGAATAAATGAAAGAAGAATGGTTAGTGGGCAAATCATTTGGAATCTGGTGAAATGGATTGAACCCAGGTGTGGACTCAGCAAAGGCATCCAGGGCATGCATAGCACAGCTGTGATAGCCATGTGCCCTCTGTGAACATTACAGGCCTACACACCTGCCAGCAGCTGAGGCAGGAGAGCCAGTGTGGGAGTCCCCTCTCCTTTGTGGGCTCTTCCTCTACAGGCTCAGCACTTGTCCCATGGCCAAGGCAGCTTTCTCTTCTGTGTTTGCTGTGTCCTCAGCCTTCACCTTTCTGCCACCCCCATGGACAGGGACAGTAAGAAAATGGGAACACGGAAGGCAGCATGCCTTGACCAGCCACTGATTTTCACTGTTGTGAAAGTGATTTGATTTAGAATTAAATGGTTTTGTATTACTATGAGTGTGGACTTTGTCTCGGGATGTTAGTGGCTGGGGAATGGACACACTGTTTTGGCCCCTGGAAAGTACCTATCTAGTCTAGTAATGTTTATGTCTTTAAACATCCATTGAGAAGTCTAGCAGCCTGTGAAAGGCAGCCCTGGTCCTTCCAGATGCATGGAATTTCTAAGTCTTCAAGCACCAAACTGCCATGATGAAACTTAGCTTGTGCCTAGGTTAAGTGGGCAATTTAGAGAAACCACAGGTTACTCGGTGTTAAAATGACTCCCTGTGTTCATCCTTTTCCTGGAACATGGAGTGTGCTCTCCTCAGGATACCTTAGTGACGTGTGAAATGTGATGGAGGAGGCTGGCGAGTTTATGAATTTGTCCCAGCTTCAAGCTCAAAAACACCAAAGCTATAGGTCACTCCCTCCTAAAAGACGCTCATTTCTTCCTCCTAGGTTTTGACTTAACAAGGGTCAGGTTGAACAGTGCCAGGCTACAGCAGGAGAATATGGAGGTAAGGGAATCCCAGCTACTCAGGAGATTGAGGCAGGAGGATAGAAAGTCTGATGAGGCCTTGGGCTGGTGAAATGTTTCAGCCTAGTAAAGGCACTTGTCACCCACACAGTGGCTCACAGCCGTCTGTAACTGGTTCCAGGGGATTCAGCACCATTCTGTGACTGCTAAGGGCAGGGCATGCACACGATGCACACGCACACCTGCCGGCAAAGCATGTATATACACTGCTACACACAGAGTGAAATCTTCAACAAAATAGAACTTTAATGTTTTTTTAAAGCCTAAACAAGGCTGGAGAGAAAGCTCAGTGAGAGGGTGCTTTGTGTCAGTGAAGCACCAGGTCACCCAATTACCATCAAAGAAACAACAGTCAGGGAACCCCTGGCACTCATAAGCCAATGACACCAGAATATTTGTTTTTAATAAGGAAGAAGAATGTACAGAACAGGTGCTAGAGAAGTGGCTTAGTAGGCATGAGAACCTGACTTTGGATCACCAGCACCCATGTGAAAAGCTTGATGTGCAGGTCTGTGATCCTGCCAGGGAGTCAAGGGACAGGAGGATTCCTGACACTCACCAAAGGTTAGTGAGAACAATAATGGAAGACTCCCTCTGCTTACATTGACCTCTACCCTATACATTCACATGTGCACACACACAACCATACAGAGCAGAATAGACAAAAAAGCCTTCATGTGTTCTCCCAACCAGCCAGCCCCAATAACTATCAACCCGGATCCAGTCCTGTTGGATCTACCTCACACTACTATGCTGCTTCTTCCTCTCCTACCCAGACTACTTGAAGCAAATCCCAGTCATGTCAACTATTAATTATCTCAGTAAGTGTCTCAGAGTTGTGCATTTTAGTGTTTATTTTATGTGTATGAGTATTTTGCCTGTATGTATATAAAAATTCTGTATTTGCCTGGTACCTGCAGAAGCCAGAAGAGGACCCTAGACCTGAAACTGGAGTCACAGATGGTGCTGAACCACCATGTGGGTGTTACGAGCTGAAGCTATGTCTTCTGGAAGGGCAGCCAGTGCTCTTAACCACTAAGCCATTTCTTTTGCTTATAACTCCTTTATATAATTGGGGTGAGAGAATGGGCACTATGGTACATGCCTGTAAGCTCACATTAAGAAAAGAGGATCAAGTTTGAGGCTAGCATGGACAACAGAGGTGTTACTAAAACAAAAACAAACAAACAAAAAAAAAAAAAAAAACAAGGGCTGGAGAGATGGCTCAGAGGTTAAGAGCAGCACTGGCTGCTCTTCCAGAGGTCCTAAGTTCAATTCCCAGAAACCACATGATGGCTCACAACCATCTATATCATGAGATCCTGTGCCCTTTCTGGCATACAGGCATACATGCAGGCAGAACACTATATACATAATAAACAAATAAATCTTTAGAAATCAAAACAAAAAGTATGTGTCGGCTGGATATGGTGGCATGTGCCTTTAATACCAGCCACTCTGGAGGAAGAGGCAAAAGAATTTGTGAGTTTGAGGCCAGCCTGATGTATATAGTGAGTTCCAGGACAGCCAGGACTATATAGAGATATATATAGATATCTATATATATATATCTTATTTTGTTCACCATTTAGCAGGGGTCTGGATTTTAGCTTGGCTTCTGGATGGAGAATGTAGTGACCACAGAATCGGGGTTCCATTTCTCTCAGGAAATGGCTAGAGCACTTTAGGGCTAGGCCTGAGCGCTAGGCTGGGGTGTGGAGTTTTCCACAGACTGTTACAGTTAGTTAGTTCTTTTAGAATGAGGTTGCCAGTGGCAATGGAAGCTCTGGTTCCAAAGCCTATGGCAGTCTCAAAGTGCTACAGCTCCTTGATTAAGCTGCTGTGCTGAGCACGGCAGAGACCCAAAACTGGCCAGAAGGCAGTCTGGTGAGCAGTGCTGCACCCAAGTGAACAGCGGAAGCTCAGTGCAGCCTACAGCAACCAGCAGTCAAGCCCCGGGTGGTCAGAGCTCTTGGTGGTCGGTCTAGCAGGCTCCAGCCAGCCTAGTTGGAAGCCAAGCCCCAGGAGTTCAGCAGCAAATTTTCAGGAGAAGGGGAACCATCCCCTCCCCAGAATAAATGACAAATCTCAGGCGGCCATGGTGGAAGGCTGATGGTATCTTGCAGCAGGCATTATAAACATTGGGCAGTGAGAGGGGTTTTGAGGGTGAATATGTTTGATTCAGTGAGGTCAGGGGTGCCAGGGATGTTTGATTTACCTGTAGTGGGACAGTGCCTCATTTAGTATGCAGTAACACAGTCCTCTCAGAAGGAGACCACAGTCTGTAGGTCGAGAAAATCAATTGAAGGTCATTGCTGAAGACTAAAATGTCTAGCAGGGTGAGGTTATTTCCAGGAATTCCCAGATGTTTGCTGGATTGCTTTTCTTACCAGGAAAGGGTCCAGCCTGTAATCTTCCCCAAGGACTATGGACTATGTGGTACTTCTTACAAGATTTGAGGGTACCAGATCAGGTGGAGAGAGAACTCCATGAGAAAAGGAAGTCTATCATCTTAGACATACTGTGAGGCTATCCAGAAATGTCAGGCTTAAACTGTAAAAACCTTTTTTTTTTTTTTGTCATTTCACTTTTACAAATTAAAAAATATACACACACATATGGGCAATTACTTGTACAGTGCAGCAACAAAGAGACTTCACAATTAGGTAACTCAAATCAGGTTTTCCACAGGAACATCCTCTTCTTAAATATAGTACAATCATTAAAGTACATGAAACTCAAAAGCTGAGCCCATGCCAAACAGGAAATAAAAGCAGGGTTCCAACAGTGTAACAGCCCTGGCTGTCCTGGAATCACTTTGTAGAGCAGGCTGGTCTTGAACTCACAGAGAGCTGCCTGCCTCTGCCTTCCAAGTGCTAGGATTAAAGGTATGCATAAAAAGAGATACTATCTCAAAAAATTGTATGTGTTTGTGTTTGTGTGTGTGTGTGTGCATGCGTGCGCTTCATAAGTTGCTGGGGCAGGGAACACAGGGTTGAAACTCCTGCTGGCCTTTCAACTCCTGCTTCTCCTACTAAACCACATCTGTCCTTTAAAGAATCTGTATCATGATGCTGGCCCAGTGGTGTAATGGTAAAGGAACCGAGTCACTCCTGTCGAATTTACTTCCATAAGTGCATAAAATTGTTAATTCTAACAGTTTCACCAGATTCAACATGGGTGAGCGTGTATTTAAATAAAAGTCTGCAATGATGAAAATGTTTTATATTGACACCATGCAACACAGTAGCCACTAGCCATAAGTGGCTGTCAAGCACAGGAAAATGTAGCTAGTAGACAGGAATTGAATTTTTCCATCCCTATTCCATAATTCCATTTCATCTTTTCCCAGTCTTTATTTTTTTATTTAATTTTACGTGTGTGTGTGTGTGTGTGTGTGTGTGTGTGTGTGTGTGTGTGTGTGCAGTACCTAAGTAGGTCAGAAGAGGCATCGGATTCCCTGGAACTGGACTTAGGAGGTCATTGTGAGCCACCTGACATGAGTGCTGGAAACTGAACTCTAGGCTTCTGAAAAACAGCATATTCTTCCAACCAGTGAACCATCTCTCCAGCCGCCCATCTTAATTTAAACAGCCACACCTGGCTATCATATAGCACAGTGCATATTTAGATTAACCCATAAGGGTTTCAAAACGATATGATGGAAATTCTTAGAGACTTGACAAGAGCGAGATGTAAAGTTACAGAGACCATGGAAAGATGCTGATGTAGAAGTAACATGGTAGGCAAGGACGGGATGTGGTTAGGAAAGGGGAGTGGGAGACGGCTGCAGAGTGAGGTGCGTTAGTGAGTGAGGACTTGGCTTGGCTTTTATCTTGTTAAGCAGTGGGGAGCTAGTGACAGTTTTAATCAAGGAACTGACAATATCGGAAACATTTTTGGAGCTAAATCCATCCATCTTCAGTGATGACTCAGGAAGGAGAGAACTTAGAAACCAGAAACACAATTTGGTTTGGAGCTAGTACAAGTGGCAATGGGAGAATCCAGGTGGGCACAAACAAGTACCCTTGGGATGGCAGAACGAGAAGCGCTTTGCTCATTTGTTTTGGAACGTAGCCCTGAAGCAGGGTTAGAGGAGCACGGGTAGGCAAGGAAAGCTAAGGCAGGCTTTCTGAGAAGGTAGCTTCTTGTTCCCAGAAAGATTCTTCAAGGGGAAACTGCAGGAAGGCACTGGGCTGGGGTGGTATCTAGACAGGACCAGTAGGGGAAAGGTGAAGGCCCACAGCACCCATAAAATACCCGAGCCAGTAGAGTATCTTGATTGTGTAAAGTTGTTACTTTAATCTGCAGCTTAGTCTTGTGTTTTTCTCAGTATCTCCCTCGAGTCTTTGTTCTTGGGGCAAACACAGCAATTCCCTAGACAACCACTGTCACTCCCATTGTATTTCCCCTGTACTCCCCAACCTAACCCTGAACTTCTAGGTTCAAGCTATCCTTCTGCCTCAGTTTCCCA